TGGGAGGGAGCGAGACCGGATGCTCGACGGGATGAAGCCGTGGAAATAGCTGGGGGAAACTTCGCTGGGAGGGAGCGAGACCGGATGCTCGACGGGATGAAGCCGTGGAAATAGCTTGGGGAAACTTCGCTGGGAGGGAGCGAGACCGGATGCTGGACGGATGAAGCCGTGGAAATAGCTCTTGAGGAAATTGCGCTGGGAAGGAGCGAGACAGGATGCTGGACGGGATGAAGCCGTGGAAATAGCTTGGGGAAACTGCGCTGGGAGGGAGCGAGACCGGAGGCTCGACGGGATGAAGCCGTGGAAATAGCTTGGGGAAATAGCTTGGGGAAACTTCGCTGGGAGGGAGCGAGACCGGATGCTCGACGGGATGACGCCGTGGAAATAGCTTGGGGAAACTGCGCTGGGAGGGAGCGAGACCGGATGCTCGAGGGGATGAAGCCGTGGAAATAGCTTGGGGAAACTGCGCTGGGAGGGAGCGAGACCGGATGCTCGACGGGATGAAGCCGTGGAAATAGCTTGGGGAAACTGCGCTGGGAGGGAGCGAGACCGGATGCTCGACGGGATGAAGCCGTGGAAATCGCTTGGGGAAAAATGCGCTGGGAGGGAGCGAGACCGGATGCTCGACGGGATGAAGCCGTGGAAATAATAGCTTTGGTTGAAACTTCGCTGGAGGAGCGAGACCGAGCTCCGAACTGGATGAAGCCGTGGTAATAGCTTGGGGAAACTGCGCTGGGGGGAGCGAGACCGGATGCTCCTACGACGGGATGAGAAGCCGTGGAAATAGCTTGGGGAAATAGCTTGGGGAAACTTCGCTGGGAGGGAGCGAGCCCGGATGCTCGACGGGATGAAGCCGTGGAAATAGCTTGGGGAAACTTCGCTGGGAGGGAGCGAGACCGGATGCTGGACGGGATGAAGCCGTGGAAATAGCTTGGGGAAACTTCGCTGGGAGGGAGCGAGACCGGATGCTGGACGGGATGAAGCCGTGAAAATAGCTTGGGGAACTTCGCTGGGAGGGAGCGAGACCGGATGCTGGACGGGATGAAGCCGTGGAAATCGCTTGGGGAAACTTCGCTGGGAGGGAGCGAGTCCGGATGCTCGACGGGATGAAGCCGTGTAAATAGCTTGGGGAAATAGCTTGGGGAAACTTCGCTGGGAGGGAGCGAGACCGGATGCTCGACGGGATGAAGCCGTGGAAATCGCTTGGGGAAACTTCGCTGGGAGGGAGCGAGACCGGATGCTGGACGGGATGAAGCCTTGGAAATAATAGCTTGGGGAAACTTCGCTGGGAGGGAGCGAGACCGGATGCTCGACGGGATGAAGCCGTGGAAATAGCTTGGGGAAATAGCTTGGGGAAACTTCGCTGTGAGGGAGCGAGACCGGATGCTCGACGGGATGAAGCCGTGGAAATCGCTTGGGGAAACTTCGCTGGGAGGGAGCGAGACCGGATGCTGGACGGGATGAAGCCGTTGAAATAGCTTGGGGAAACTTCGCTGGGAGGGAGCGAGACCGGATGCTCGACGGGATGAAGCCGTGGAAATAGCTTGGGGAAACTGCGCTGGGAGGGAGCGAGACCGGATGCTCGACGGGATAAAGCCGTGGAAATAGCTTGGGAAATAGCTTGGGGAAACTTCGCTGGGAGGGAGCGAGACCGGATGCTCGACGGGATGAAGCCGTGGAAATAGCTTGGGGAAACTGCGCGGGGAGGGAGCGAGACCGGATGCTCGACGGGATGAAGCCGTGGAAATAGCTTGGGGAAATAGCTTGGGGAAACTTCGCTGGGAGGGAGCGAGACCGGATGCTCGACGGGATGAAGCCGTGGAAATAGCTTGGGGAAACTGCGCTGGGAGGGAGCGAGACCGGATGCTCGACGGGATAAAGCCGTGGAAATAGCTTGGGGAAATAGCTTGGGGAAACTTCGCTGGGACGGAGCGAGACCGGATGCTCGACGGGATGAAGCCATGGAAATCGCTTGGGGAAACTTCGCTGGAAGGGAGCGAGACCGGATGCTCGACGGGATGAAGCCGTGGAAATATAGAAATTTCGCTGGGAGGGAGCGAGACCGGATGCTGGACGGGATGAAGCCGTGGAAATAGCTTGGGGAAACTTCGCTGGGAGGGAGCGAGACCGGATGCTCGACGGGATGAAGCCGTGGAAATAGCTTGGGGAAACTTCGCGGGGAAATTTCGCTGGGAGGGAGCGAGACCGGATGCTGGACGGGATGAAGCCGTGGAAATAGCTTGGGGAAACTTCGCTGGGAGGGAGCGAGACCGGATGCTCGACGGGATGAATCCGTGGAAATAGCTTGGGGAAACTGCGCTGGGAGGGAGCGAGACCGGATGCTCGACGGGATGAAGCCGTGGAAATAGCTTGGGGAAACTGCGCTGGGAGGGAGCGAGACCGGATGCTGGACGGGATGAAGCCGTGGAAATAGCTTGGGGGAAACTGCGCTGGGAGGGAGCGAGACCGGATGCTGGACGGGATGAAGCCGTGGAAATAGCTTGGGGAAACTTCGCTGGGAGGGAGCGAGACCGGATGCTGGACGGGACAAAACCGTGGAAAATAGCTTGGGGAAACTTCGCTGGGAGGGATCGAGACCGGATGCTGGACGGGATGAAGCCGTGGAAATAGCTTGGGGAAATTGCGCTGGGAGGGAGCGAGACCGGATGCTGGACGGGACAAAACCGTGGAAATAGCTTGGGGAAACTTCTCTGGGAGGGAGCGAGACTGGATGCTGGACGGGATGAAGCCGTGGAAATAGCTTGGGGAAACTTCGCTGGGAGGGAGCGAGACCGGATGCTGGACGGGATGAAGCCGTGGAAATAGCTTGGGGAAACTTCGCTGGGAGGGAGCGAGACCGGATGCTGGACGGGATGAAGCCGTGCAAATAGCTTGGGGAAACTGCACTGGGAAGGAGCGAGACCGGATGCTGGACGGGATGAAGCCGTGGAAATAGCTTGGGGAAACTTCGCTGGGAGGGAGCGAGAATGGATGCTCGGCGGGATGAAGCCGTGGAAATAGCTTGGGGAAACTTCGCTGGGAGGGAACGAGACCGGATGCTGGACGGGATGAAGCCGTGGAAATAGCTTGGGGAAACTTCGCTGGGAAGGAGCGAGACCGGATGCTAGACGGGATGAAGCCGTGGAAATAGCTTGGGGAAACTTCGCTGGGAGGGAGCGAGACCGGATGCTCGACGGGATGAAGCCGTGGAAATAGCTTGGGGAAACTGCTTTGGGAGGGAGCGAGACCGGATGCTCGACGGGATGAAGCCGTGGAAATAGCTTGGGGAAACTTCGCTGGGACAGAGCGAGACCGGATGCTCGACGGGATGAAGCCGTGGAAATACCTTGGGGAAACTTCGCTGGGAGGGAGCGAGACCGGATGCTCGACGGGATGAAGCCGTGGAAATAGCTTGGGGAAACTGCGCTGGGAGGGAGCGAGACCGGATGCTCGACGGGATGAAGCCGTGGAAATAGCTTGGGGAAACTGCGCTGGGAGGGAGCGAGACCGGATGCTGGACGGGATGAAGCCGTGCAAATAGCTTGGGGAAACTTCGCTGGGAAGGAGCGAGACTGGATGCTGGACGGGATGAAGCCGTGGAAATAGCTTGGGGAAACTTCGCTGGGAGGGAGCGAGACAGCATGCTGGGACGGGACAAAACCGTGGAAAATAGCTTGGGGAAACTTCGCTGGGAGGGAGCGAGACCGGATGCTGGACGGGACAAAACCGTGGAAATAGCTTCGGGAAACTGCGCGGGGAGGGAGCGAGACAGCATGCTGGACGGGACAAAACCGTGGAAAATAGCTTGGGGAAACTGCGCTGGATGGGAGCGAGACAGCATGCTGGACGGAAAGCTGTGCTGGGAGGAAGCGCGACAGCATGCTGGACGGGACAAAACCGTGGAAATAGCTTGGGGAAACTTCGGTGGGAAGGAGCGAGACAGCATGCTGGACGGAGAAGAAAGCGTGCAAATAGCTTGCGGAAAGTTGCGCTTGAAGGGAGCGAGACAGCATGCTGGACGGGATGATGCCGTGGAAATAGCTTGAGGAAACTTCGCTGGGAGGGAGCAAGACAGCATGCTGCACGGAGACGAAAACTGTGGAAATAGCTTGCGGAGAGCTTTGCTGGGAGGAAGCGCGAGAGGATGAGACAGCATGCTGGATGGAGAGGAAACCGTGCAAATAGCTTGCGGGGAGCTTCGCTGGAAGGGAACGAGACAACTGGACGGATGGGAAACCGTGGAAATAGTTTCGGAGAGCTTCGCTGGGAGGAAGCGAGATAGCATGCTGGACGGAGAGGAAACCGTCCAAATAGCTTGCGGAGAGCTTCGCTGGGAGGGAGGGAGACAGCATGCTGGACGGAGAGGAAACCGTGAAAATAGCTTGCGGAGAGCTCCACTGGGAGGGAGCGAGACAGCATGCTGGACGGAGCGAAAACCGTGGAAATAGCTTGGGGAAAGTCCGCTGGGAGGGAGCGAGACAGCATGTTGGACGGAGAAGAAACCGTGCAAATAGGTTGCGGAGAGCTTCGCTGGGAGGGAGGGAGACAGCATGCTGCACGGAGGAAAGTGTGAAAATAGCTTGCGGAGAGTTTCGCTGGGAGGGAGCGAGATAACATGCTGGACGGATAGGAAACCGTGGAAATAGCTTGCTGAGCTGGGAGGGAGCGAGACAGCTTGCGGAAAGCTTCGCTGGGAGGGAGCGAGACAGCATGCTGGACGGAGAGAAAACCGGGCAAATAGTTTGCGGAAAGCTTTGCTGGGAGGGAGCGAGACAGCATCCTGGACGGAGAGGAAACCGTGGAAATAGGTTAAGGAGAGCTTCGCTGGGAGGGAGCGAGACAGCATGCTGGACGGAGAGGAAACCGTGCAAATAGGTTGCGGAGAGCTTCGCCGGGAGGAAGCGAGAGAGCATGCTGGACGGAGAGGAAACCGTGCAAATAGCTTGCGGAGAGCTTCGCTGGGCGGGAGCGAGACAGCGTGCTGGACGGAGAGGAAACCGTGCAAATAGGTTGCGCAGAGCGTCGCTGGGAGGGAGGGAGACAGCATGCTGGATGGACAGGAAACCGTGGAAATAGCTAGCGGAGAGCTTCGCTGGAAGGGAGCGAGACAGCGTGCTGGACGGAGAGGAAACCGTGCAAATAGGTTGCGGAGAGCCTTGCTGGGAGGGAGCGAGACAGCATGCTGGACGGGACAAAACCGTGGAAATAGCTTGCGGAGAGCTTCGCTGGAGGGAGCGAGACAACATGCTGGACGGATAGGAAACCTTGAAAATAGTTTGCGGCAGAGCTGTTGGCACGGGTTTTTTCAGGACAAATGCCATCATTGCGATTGGCCTGAAAAAATTGTGGGCCCAAGACTGGTCAAATGGTCCCAAGACCGGTCAAACGGTTTGCAAAGGCTGAAAAATGGGACATGCACAGAGAAGCTTTTACACAAAAAAAGCCTTTACACAGAAACTTTGACACACAGACGCGTTTACAGAGACACAGAGGAGTCTTGACAAAGAAGCCTTTACGCACAGAAGCTTTTTTGCACAGAGTAGCTTTTACACACAGAAGTCTTTACACAGAGAAGTCTTGAGACAGAGAAGCCTGTACATACAAAGGCTTTTACAGAGAGAAGCCTTTCGCACAAAGAAGTCTTGACACAGAGGAGCTTTTACGAGAGAAGTCCTTACACAAACGAGATTTACACGCAGAAGGTGTTACAGATAGACGTTCTTTCGGCGCACAGAAACTTTAAGACAGAGCAGCTTGTACACACAGAAGCTTTTACACAAAAAAGCCTTTACACAGAGAAGTTTTTCACACAGGAGCTTTTGCACAAGAAAACTTTTACACAGGAAAGCTTTTACACACAGAAACTTTCACACACAGAAGCTTTGTACACAGAGAAGTCTTTGCACAGAGGAGCTTTTGCACACACAGAATCTTGTACACACAGACGCTTTCACACACACACAGGAGGTTTTACAAACAGACAACTTTACGGCGCACAGATTTTTTACACAGAGCAGCTTTTACGCAGCGAAGCTTGTACACACAGGGGGCTTTTTTACACAGAAGCTTTTACATAAGGGTTTTTTAATACACAGAAGCTTTTACACACAGAAACCTTTACACACAGAAGCTTTTACACACAGAAACTTTTACACACAGAAGGTTTTACACACAGAAGCTTTTAACACAAAAAAACCTTTAAACAAAGGAGCTTTTACACACAGACGGGTTTACACAGAGAAGTCTTTACACACGGAGGCGTTTACACGGGAAAGAGTTTACACGGAAGCGTTTACACAGAGTAGTTTTTACACAGAGAAATTTTTACACAAAGAAGTCTTGACACAGAGAAGCTTGCACACACAGAGGCTTTTACACACAGAAGCCTTTTACACAGAGCGGCTTTTTCACAGAGGAGCTTTTACACAGAGGAACTTTTACACAGAGAAGCTTGTACACTCAGAGGCTTTGACACAGAGAAGTCTTTTACACAGAGAAGTTTTTGCACACAGAAGCTTTACACAAACAAAACCTTAACACAGAGGAGCTTTTACAGACAGAAGCTGGTACGCAAAGAAACTTTCGCAAACAGAAACTTTTACACACAGAGCGCGTTTTACACAGAAGATTTTACACACAAGAGCTTTTACACCAAAAACCTTTACACAGAGAAGTTCTTGCCCACAGAAGGTTTTACTTGCAGAAGCTTTTATGCAAAGAAGCTTTTGTACAGAGAAGTCTTTACCCATCTTTTATCATGTCTCATTTTTCATGATCATTTGCCATCTGTCACCTTCATATATATCTTCGTTTTCATGCTCTTTTGGTCAGCTCCCTCTGTCGTTTAATTTTCATTTCGTTCGTCCGTCCACGCTTCGTGCTCGCTCCCTCTGCGGCGAAGCAAACTAAACGAGAACGCAGAAATAGATAGCGACTAGACAGATGGGATAGAGTTAATTACATTAACAGAAAGAGCGACTAGAAGACTGTAGGCGTAGCTGACACAGCATGCTGTGGTGAATCGTGGCCCCTGATACCATCAGTGCGCACGATGTTTAAGTAAAGATCTTACGTCGATTTCGTGCAGAGCACAGCTGGCCACACCCCAAGATTTTCAAGAAAAGGCGTGCTGTGTGCCGTCTTGCTTTTGGGTTCTCTGGCCCACCTTGTTTTTAATCTGGTGTTAGGCTCAAACACCGTTTCGAAATTTGATTCTACCCAAAAAAGGATCTAAGAAGAACTTCTTTGGCCGCACAACAAATGAACTCAAACAAGTTGATGATAGAATGTTCATCAAGAAATGTATACATACATATATATATATATCATTTATATTATATCTATATATGTATTATATGAATGGTTAAACATGGTTAAACAAACAGCTTCAGCATCACCTGACTGTGGCACTCCATCAGCTGAGTGACATGGGAACAATGAGCCATGCGAGTTGCTCCAGACAAGCCTGTGCCTGGAAAAGCTATGGAAAATGCGGCATTTTTGAACACTAAAATGCACTAATGTGGGTGGAATGATGGTTACAGTTACAATGGGTAGAACGAAGTAACAAAAAATGTGGGTAAAACGATGTCATAAACGTCATAAACCACAAAAATGACTGGGAATGGTTTCTACATACCACCTATAAAATTGATGATGACTGGGGGATGGTTTATGATTGTTTTAACCACAGTAACACGTGGGGATGAACTTAGCTGCTACTTGATCCCGCCTCTGGGTCGCTCAGAAGAAAATCCATGACCTCAGCAAAAAACTCACATGGAACGCTACGGGGTTTGTGAAAATTCATCCAGGTAGAACTCATGAACCAATCAAGGTATTTTCCTATTGGACATAGCATCTGTTTTTGGAATCGGAATTTCGCGAGGTTTTTCTCCGAGGCTCAAACCCCACGCATGACCCAGGAAGCACAAGTCTCACCAGGATGCGCACGGGCCTCACATGATTTGGAGCTGCAGATCTTTGGGTGAAAATCATCCAGCAAAAACGATGATTTTCACCTTGAAAATGGCTTCCCCCAGCCATCCGCAGGCTTCATGCTGGGTTTCCCCTGCCACGATACAGACCCTCTGCGTGGAAAGCTGATTTCCAAGTCGAAGGGCTGGAACCTGGTTACCCATCATTGTCACGGCCTGAGATCAACGGTGAGGGGATGGTTTTCATGGGATTTTCCAATGGATTGGTGGCATCTACAGAGCTTTTCATGGCTTTTTTTCCATGAAAATCGCAGGGTTTTTTCCATGGGGAAACCGGTGTCAATTTTCTAAGCTATCCATGTAGATTTAGGATCATTCTGGCATTGCGGCATGAGGATTGGATGGGGATGGATTTGATAGTTTTTTTTTCATATCTTTTGAAACTGCCCGAAATGGGAAAGCAACAAGAAACAACTGAAACAACTGAAACAACAACATCAATCCAGTCTTTTTGATGTTTTCGTGTCTGAAGTGCTTCGCAATCGCCCATGAAAATTCATAACATCTGGGATCCCCAAATCTGAACTTTAGGCCGCGACCAAAGATTCCCAGGGCCATGGGGCCAAGTCGTAAAGCCTGGCGTGGCGCTTCGACTGGTTTTTGACATCCACCGGAGATCGACCGGTGATGCTGATATTCACCAGATTTGTTTTTTTTTTTGTATGTTTTTTTGGTTGGGATATTGAGGGGATTTTCCATAATCCATATCCATTATCCATAATCCATATCTGGTTGGTGGTTGAGCCCTACCCCTCTGAAAAATGATACCAACCAGTAAGAGTTTAGATAGATAAGTCTTGATAAAACCTTCCAAAAATTGATAACTTGATATTCATCAATCATTTGTTGAACCCGGTTTGCAGCTCTTGCACCATTGGCTGCCCCACAGGTCCGTGAAGGTATAGGGCTCGGAATAGGCCAAAAAGCATTCGTCCTGACATCGTGCGTTGCATGCTGTTCCTGAAAGAGATCACAAACATCACAAAGGTATGGGGTGTTAACATGTGTTCACGACTATTATACCACCATTTCACAACCATGGTGAAAACCACTCCAAGATGGGGAAATATATCAGGACCCCTACTTTGTTGTCCCTCCAAAACATCAGATAAATTTCTTGATCTTTAATTCAAGATGCCTGTCATTGTCGTTGCCTGTCTGCTGATTCAGAGGTCGCTTCTTTTGCGAAACTGTGTAGATCATGGGCAGCCTTCGCCGCCATGAATTTGTGCACAGCTCTAACGCATTTCTGCTGGAGCAATGGCAAAAGCAAGTGCGAATTCGTCGCTTGAATCAGCTTGAACTCACTCAATCCTTTTTCCTGGGGAAGTGGACAGCTTTGGAGGGCACGGACTCCCATCAATCGAAATTTTCAGAAATCCCCAAGGGGGCCTTCAATATGGCCCGATATGGCTGCCCCCTCTGGTCAACTGACGCCATCTATCCCCAACCACATCCGGCATTCCCCTCATGGCAGGAGTTCTGTTGGATGAAATATATAAAACAAAATCCCCAAATGATGAATATTTTGTTTACTTAAAAACAAAATCCATCTGTTTTCACGCAACTGAAGTTATGGATACTTTTCTTGATGGTCATTCTGCCAGACCATAGTAAGAAGTAATCTCCACCTACTAAAACCATTCCCCGCTGGGGGGTGCATTCCAGTTATTTAGTAAGTGGGTAATAACCATACTATACCCGAGTTATATTATATAGAAAAACAAGATAGATAGAAAGACAGATAAAACAAGTCGATATTCAAAAAAATCAGATTCATAGAAATTAGACTTAGATATTTTAATTGTATATAAAAATTGATTGATTTAATTATAATTACACAGATTTAGTTCACATTCGTTTATTTCTTAAAAAAACTATTTAATTTATTTTTTTTCTAGAATCCTCGGTTTTCCCAGACTTCCAAACCACCACGTAAGCACAACCTGAATATATGGCTTACATAGGGGTTACACACCGGCTTCTACCTATATGTATGGCTACAATATGGTTTGAATAACTACATCAAACATATCTTTAATATTCTTCAATGAGGTAAAATACAATATATCATACTATATATACACACAAAATAATAGTAATAATAATAAATACAAACTAATATATCATAGAACCATATTACAATCATACTAACATACATAAGCTATTGAAAATTGCAATAGAAATAGTGGATTTTCCTATTAAACTTTATTAAACATGGTGATTTTCCAGTTCGTTATGTGGCTGTTTACCAGAGGGTATCTATCTTTAGATACGGCTGAGCCAACCAAGTCTCTTTGGATCTTCGTCTTCATCGTCAGAGCGAATGTCCTCAGCACCTTGGCCTCGCAAGAGCTTCATGGCCACCTGGCGACATGGATCACCGGTAAAATGTCCAAAATCAGGGTGATAAATTATTATAGATATTATATTTACTCTATATATATATAGATATTATATGTATGATATTAGTATATATATATAATATATGTGTCACATATGTCAAATGAATATCATGGGAATATTATGATCTATCTATGAATGAAATGTGAGGATCTCATAGATCTAGATACATATTATGATGAAATGGGGGGATGATTGAATATAGCGAATTTAAATGGAGAACCCAAACATATTGACATATTGCATGTCTTTGATGATTTATTTTTGTCAACGAAGCAGTCATTTTTGAGATTCAACCCCTTTTGGGTGCTCAGCAACGGCGACGCGTCAGAGAACCCCCAGCTGCACCTTCAAAATCAAACCGAACCAATATAGCTGCAAGACCTCAGTTGGATCCAGTTAGCGATTTATTCTTGATCTTAAATCAATCGATTTTAAAGCACTAATCTGAGCTGTCTAAGCCAGGGACCATCAGTAAATAGAGCAACAGTACCTTGGATTTGTGATCCAGGAGCCCCCCCAAAATAAACAACATCCAAAAAACAAATCCCCAATATAGTTTATATCCGCAGTTATATATCCCCAGAAGAATAAACCATATATAACTATATCCCCAGTTATATATATACACAATTTCCTTTTGGAAAAAGTAAGAAAATCCTCTTCAGCGGATCCAGGGCACGCACAATTTCGCGGCATAATCCAGATGAAAGTACTGTTCTGACTCGATATGGGCAGACCTAAACAGCCAAGGTCTGCCAGGTAGGAAAAACATCAACCATCATGAATTCCAAAGCAGCAGTTGATGCTGTCCGACACAATATCATCAGTAGACAAGGTATACATATAAATATGTATATACATATATGTTTATACATATATAAATATGTATGTACATATATATATATATTTATATTTGTGTATGTATACATATGTCTATATATATATATATACATATATATATATGTACATATTCATATACATATACATAAATAAATACATATACATATATATAAAGTATAATGTCCATATTCAACTTGTCATGGTTCAGCAACATCTTTTTCAGGTCTTCAGCTGAGTGCCCTGGGGGTGCTGACCAACAGACATACCCAAACATCACCAGGCGGGTCACAAAGAACCTTGGTGGAAACGAAAATCGCTGCGGACATGTCCTGAGGAGAAAAACCTCAAAAAACCAAATAGTTTTGATACGTTTTGATAAATACAGACAGCTGGCTTGAAGCCGATGGTGATAATTATGACGAATATGTCTATCACGATTGGATCATATATATATATATTATATTATATATAATATAATTATATTATATTATATTATATATTATTATATTATATATAATATTATATATAATATTATATTATATATAATATTATATATTATATTATATTATATATAATATAATATATAATATTATATTATATATTATATTATATTATATATAATATTATATAATATTATATTATATTATATTATATATAATATTATATATAATATTATATATTATACATAGATAAACATCCAATAGTGATATCTCAAACATCCGTCGTCAATGACCAGTCATCCTAGCGGTCCAAGAAGTGCCTTTTTGCGCCATCGTAGCATTGCCCTTGCGCAGGGTCATGGCCTACCCAAGCTACCCTCTGGTAAACTAACATGTCAGCTGTTTCCCAAGATGTCCAATGGGGCAATGGGGATACCCTCAAACATACAAAAAACGAACTGGAAAATCACCATGCTATTAATGGAAAAATCCACTATAACTGGCCATTTTCAATAGCTATGTTAGTTTACCAGAGGGTATCTCCAACACATGTTTGTTTTTGCTTCATCAACATCTAAAAACCTTAAGGTAAGCAGGTAACCAATTATATAAGTTCTATCAAATTTCATCCAATTCTTCAGCCAAACAGTAATTTATGATTTTCTGAAAGTTGATAACACTTCATCTCACACTGGTCACAAAACAAGTTTTGCCATTCATTTTTTCTTTTACTGCCCAGTAACAGCACCGCAAAGAATTCAAAGAGCCGATCTGCGAAGAACTGCCAAATATTCATCTCCAGAGCCTCCGAGGTGTACTTGCACAGCTTCCTCGGAGATCAGGGCAACCTTTGCTGGTTGGTGGTTTCAACCCCTCTGAAAAATATGAAAGTCAATGGGAAGGACTATCCCATATATTATGGAAAATAAAAAATGTTCCAAACCACCAACCAGTTTGGAAATGGGCTTGGGATTCGCCGCATGGATGTGGGTCAAAATGGAAGACCGGACCTAGGGGACCACAGATGTTAGTCATGTCTAGTTTAGTATTAACCATCCAATTATTGGGGTACCTAATTTTGACCCATACCCACATATCATGCTTCCAACAGCATCAACGAGGGAAGATAGCAATTTTTATGATCGTTAGACAGTGCAAAATGCAGAATCAGTACAGCAGAGTTCCCGAACACAACATGCGAAACATATCACCGTATCACCTTCAATGGTTAGCCATGATTCAACCCCCCAAACAATGACACACACACACACATATATATATATATATATAAGGCCCCTGAAAATGGCAACATCTCATCAAACATCACCCTGGCAACATCTCATCAAACATCACCCATCCCATGATCAATTTGTGACCATAGAGTTCCAGTGTCGCAAGGTGTAATGGCACATCTGCGGGATCCAAGAGGACCATAACCTCGGCAAAATCAGAGGTTTAAGCGTTCGACATGGAGATTTTGCCGAAAATTCTTGGGATATTCTGAAATCCTGTGAGAAATTCTGATAGCAAGGAACTTCCCGAAGTTCGGAGGTTTTTTTGGCAACATCAAGTTTGAAACGCTTCAAAATGGTGGATTCTCCAGCCAGCGATGTGATTTCCGGAGGCTTTTTTTGAGGGCCATGGAGTTGAGGTGTTTTTTTCTCAAAGCACATGGTGAAAGAACTGTGGTAAAATATAAGCCACTCATGTGGTATATCATAGGTATATCACTTATATCACTAATGTGGCCATAGCTGCTAGCTATATCCCAAGGTATTTTTTTGTGGTACATCTGAAAAAACCCAGGCATTTCTGGTCGATCTGTTTTTTTTTTGATCTCCAAGGTCTTTGCCAAGTGACTACCACACCCACGCGATTCCAACCACAGAAGTAGGAAACATAGACCACCTGGAGGCGCTGTTACCATCTGCTGGCTGCGGCCAGCAGCACACTCGCTTGTCAATGGTTTACATTGCTGGCTTATGGTGAATTCAGTCCATGAATTGCATGAACATTGATATATATATATATATCTACATAGCTTAACTTCACTTGAACTCACAGTCAAAAATTGTTGTCAATTCATGAATTTCAATGGTGCTATGGCATCTTTGTTTCCTGTTCTGTGGGTTCCTTCACGCAAGCGGGCAACTGTTACCCAATCAGAACTGTAGTAACTCAATCATTTCTGCAAAATTTGGGTCTACCATCGTCCTTCATCGTCCTTCTCCACCAAGAAACTCCGATAGTGACGATGTGGTGAACCTCGAGCGACATCCACCAGGTTCTGTGTGCGCATTTTCGCTATCGCGAAGCATGCTGTGCCATGGTTCACATTGAAAAATCACCAGCATCAAACATATCGAATCACAACCATTACAATCATAAGCACAACTTATTACCATCACTATCACCAACACCATCGCCCTCCCGCTCCTCCCCCTCCTCCCCCTCCTCCTCCTCCTCCTCCTGCTCATGATGATGATGATGATGATGATGATGATGATGATGATGATGATGATGATGATGATGATGATGATGATGACGGTGATGATGATGATGATGATGATGATGATGATGATGATGATGATGATGATGATGACGGTGATGATGATGATGATGATGATGATGATGATGATGATGATGATGATGATGATGATCATGAACCATCAGCCATCAGCCATCAGCCATCAACCATCAATCATCATCCTCCATCAGCTTAGCTGACACTAAGAATGTGACCATCATCTCCAAGAAATCTTTCCTCTTTGGCTCCAGGAGTACCGTCACGGCTGCCTGCAACGCCACGACATGCGACTGGAAACCGCCGCAGGATGGGACGATGCATGACGATGCCAAGTCTGCTGTGCCTGGATGTATCGCGCTGCATAGAGGATGTAGAAACATCGCAAATCAGATCGCATGATCAAATGGTCACCTTAGGCGCTGCCGTGCCTGTTTCTGAGTCAATTAAAAAAATTACCGAATCTGGACAAACAAAATCACTGGCCCACATTTTTTGACATGAAGCTTCTTAAAACCTGATCTTCACGTGTCAACCCGGTTGCAGTCCAGCCATGTCCCACCGATTCAGGCTCCGACCGCTATCAAATCCCTTCCACCAGTTGGCCGAAGGCCAGGCCCAAGGCTGGTTGGGCACCTGTTTTTTTTGGGGAAACCCACAGCAAAATTGCAGAGATTTCTGGGATGATTGAGATCAAATGTCCGGAAAATCGACATCTGATAGATTTTACATGTAAACAATTCATTTTAGATACTTTCGTGCAAATTTCAAATGACTCATTTCTGATTTTTCGTTGGGTCCTATCTTTAGATGACACTTATCTACTATGGTTCAAGAATCAAGTACCAATTCTGGCCAAAATACCCGGATGGTTCGAAAACGACCAACTCTGTGTTTCATTCCCCTCCATGAATTGACATAGTTGGAAGCTTTATTGAGGAAACCTCTCTTTCCCATATGACACAAGTCTCCACCACTCCTGGGTAGTAAACATCAATCGTTTTCCATTTTTTATTGCAGTGAAGGCACAATGGCAATGCCAATGATGGTAAAGATACCATAGACCAAGGCCTGCAAGGTTGTACCATGTTGTACCATACATTGAAACCTGGATTTGAATATGGATATATGATACATCAGACATGATATATGACCATGATATGCCGTACAATGATATATGATATATCGGTCATGAGATATGAAACATGTATAAACATGCTACATGAGAGGTCCTTATTTTTTTTTCGGTCTTTTGCTCCCTGAGATGTTTGAATTGGGTTCCAAAAAAGAACCACTCGGCATCGTGATAAAAAATACCCTCGTGGCTGGCTGGAGAATCACCCCACCGATATGGGGCATGTTTCAGCCAGCCACGCTGGATTTACCGGATAGCAATCAACCATTCGCATGGCCAAAAACACTCCAACTCTTCATCCAAAGAGAAAAAAAAAGTGACACCAAATCCAACCATGGCCTGATACCATCTGATTGTTTCCTATAGGTGTACCAGTGTACCACCAAATCATCCAAGTCATTAGACCATATTACTATATCTTAGTATTGAAACCTATGATTTTGGGGATGCCCCGTGATGCCCCATGACTTAAGAAACCAGCATCGACCCAGGTGTCCCTGGCACCACTTTTTGGTCCTGGCCTCGAGAACGGATTGCGAAAACTTAATGAGCCTGAGCCGCGAAGATCAGTTGAAGGCTTGTATCTTCCCACACATATACCAGTATTATCTTATATATAATATACACATACATATACATACATATGTATTATATACATATGCATTGTGTACATATATGTACATGTATACAAGCAACACACACACACACATGTATATATATATAATATCTAGAGGAATTCCACAATATCCCAGGGTCTTTTCGTCCGAAAACCATCTCTTGGGATATCAGGACCTTCATCTACCCCCATCCCCATCTATGTAGATGAATTTTGACCCAACATGCCCATTGGTCGATTCGCATCCGACACTCTAATCATCTCTAATCCATATGAATCCCCTAATATGAAGCCCCTAATCTTTGATAGGCCACAAGAACTTTGATTCTAAATGATAAAATGTGGCTATTGGTCAAAACCCATCAAACCCCTAGTGAACCCCAAATAGCTGGCACATTCACGTTTATCCCCCAAATATGGTATAATTGGTTTTGATCCATCTACATACCAACTGGTTTCAGCCTCAAGAAAATCTGACAAGAGGGCATCATCATCACTTTCGGGTTGGTCTGCAAATATGGTACACCCACATTTGATGGTTCATCATCATTTTCCTCATGGAAATACACATTTATCTGGAGTGAAATGGCCCGTTTTCAGACACTCCGACTACTAAATCATATTGTTGGTTGCATATCCACATCAATACCACCATTGTACCCCCATTGTGGTTGATATTCAAACAGAAAAAAACATGAAGGACCATCCGCATGGGAATTAAAACTAGCCCTAAAGAATTGGATGCCGGATGCTGAATCCGAACTTCATGCTATCAGAACATACAGAATCTGTGGTTTTTCTACTGCTTTTCTGATGGTTTTGTCCTCAAAATTTGACCCATTTCATCCATTTCTTGATCCATTTCATCCATTTCCATAACCCCTGCAGTGTCTCCAAGTTGCTGTTGACCTTGGGCTCCGATAAACAGCCGTGTCAAAGGCTCCACTACCAGCAATCGCAGGGCCCAGTTGACTTCGAAGATGGCAACTACGAAGAAGGCCTTTTTTTGTGGAAAAAACTGCAAGGCTTTTTTCTAACCAAACAATCCACTATCCACCATTTATGGTTGATTTTCTCGTTTAAACCTACCATTTCAATTGAAATTGTTTGATTGTTTGATTACCAGAGAGGATTAACCATGAAACATTGGGTTTAACCATGAACATAGGAATTTCACCGCTGAACAACGCTTTTCATCTGCCCCAGGTCGTTAGCTAAGTTGGTTAGAAAGTCCCTAGGTGCATATCATGGTTTATGGTAGATATAGCATGATATAGCTAGTTAATGTGTTTTTTAGCTCTCAAGCAACACACACACACACACAACTGGCGGGGAACCACCCTTTAGGCACAATCCAGGGGACGCACTTCTAAAGTGTGTACGCACACACACACATGTATGTGTATATATATATATATTATATTATATTATATTTATATATTAAATTTATATATTATATTATATTATATATTAAATTTATATATTATATCATATTATATTATATTATATTTTATATTATATTTTATATTATATTATATTATATTATATTATATTATATATATACATAATTGAGGCATGTGCATACTTCAGATAATGGTGTAGAGATAGCCATGACAAAATATGGGGGAACTCGCCATTTCGATGTAACTCCGAGTAAACCGAGTAAAGGTTTCACCAAGGTCTCATTGCTGGCCACTGAAGTCGTTCCGAGGGGCGATGACGCTGGCGTCCCTCTCCTTCTCTGGGGTCGTCTGGGGTAATGCAGCCCTTTGAGCTTCAGAGCCAGTGATGGAAATTCTCAATCCTGGCAAAATGCGGGATATTCAAAAATCTCATTGGGATTTGGTACATGATGGTACCATGTTTGCTCCAGCTGACTCGGGTCTTAAACCTTTGATCAAGAATGATCCAAGCTCCAACTTTTTGTCCAAAGGCTGGAAGGCTGCAGGATTTTTCGGTCAATCTGACGCAGAAGAATTTCTCCAATAGAAACTGTGGGTAGGCCCGGAGACAGCCCACCAAAATAGCTGGCGTTTATTAGGCTTGTCCGAAAATCGTGTAGCCCTTGTAGCCCTAAATTTGACAATATCATCCATCATCAACTTCGCCAAAAAACTGGCATTTTCAGGTATCCGGTATCCATAGGTATCTCTTATTTTTGACAGAGTGACTATCCACAGAAACCATGGCCTGTGACAAGGATGCTGACCTCCTTTCGAGTCGCCTCCTGCAGAAGTCCACAATAGTTGAGTCATGTTTTTTGCACCGTGGAACTAGAAATATAGTGGGAAACACAACATTTATGTTATTCATATAATAAGTTGTTATAAATATTGAGTCAACAATAGTTGAGTTCCACATTCATAAATATTGATAACAACTATGAATATGGGAACACCTGGCTATAAATCACTCCCATTTGGGGTTTTGTAAAACCCCCGAGCCGTTTCAAATGGTTGTTCGACACGTTATCGTTTTTTTCGTCTTATCGTTTTTCCAAGCGCTGGCTTCACACCTTGATCACAGAATTCACATGAGCGAGGAAAGGGAAAAGGAAAAGGAAGAGTACATGCAGGGAAAGGAAAAGGAAAGAGATGGGGGAGGAAAGGAGAGAGGAAACGGAGAGGAAAAGAAAAAAACAACACAGTGTCTCACACGGACCATCTTTGATGCCCAAAGTTATCGTTTTCGTTATCGTTCGTGAATCTGACCTGGCTGCAATCATCAAAAAAGGAGTGATGATAACCACCTACCAGGCACCTTCCTTGTGCAAAATCTGACACACAAACAATGAAAGGAAGAGACCAAAAGCACTGCAGAACGATGGAAGAATCAAGAACATTGGATTTCAAGAGTCCGGACACAGATCATTAACATAACCAACGTTATCGTTTTGTTCTTTTTCCTCTCATCGTTTTTTCGAGTGAAAGCAAAAAATGGCTCATGGGGGATCATGGTTTCGACTAAATGAATAGGCGGCGCGGGGTTGGATTACAAACCCCAGTCCTGTTGCAGAAAGGCCCAACATACGCCCAGCAGCGCCAGAAGGGCTGGAATCCAAATGATTAAACTTCCTTGGAACTCGGATTGGCTGCGCCACTGGTTGGATTGGGTGGATTGGAACTGGATTGGAACTGGTGGCTTCACAGGCCACATATCATGACGGGGAGTACAGTAATACATCAGAATATATCCTCATCATGATTGGTTTACACCATATATATATATATAGACTATATAGATATTTCATATAAATGATTTTCCATACATGTACATCATGTACATATGTATATATATATATACATATGTATAAATATGTCAGTTATAAGTATATATGTATCAATCTATTCATTCTCATCATTGCTGGCCAACCTCCATTCAGCCCCTGCGGTGCGAGAGTCCATGTGACACTGACTTCGCCATAGCCACCAGAAGCTTCCCCGAGTTCACAGATCGCCAGGTGTGGAGCAACTGCTTCGCTTTGTATATATACACGTGTATATATGCATACATATATATATATATATCTATACATGTTGATTGTACTCATATTTATATAATTATGACTATTGCACCAGTTCTTAGAGTTGTAATGAGGTCAAACCAAAGTAGCCTGGTCACAGCTGAACAGCTAGTGATAGGTCATTCAGCCACGGATCTTGAGGCTTCAAGCTGCCAAGCGCGAATAGAAAACACCAGAATATGAATGCATTTTTTTCTGGACCTTCATCTGTTTATGTACATATTATTGATAAACATGATCTTTTTCTTTAATCATCACTTTTAAACTATTATCAACTAGCTACTATTGATATCGATAATCATCAATCCTTGCCACTCCGCGACAGCACTGAACGCATCTACCCACCTCTTCAAAGGGGAAGCAAATGTCGAAGGATACCCGGTAGAGTTTCCGCGAACCAAAGCCTTCGCCGGATCCCATCGCATGATTTCAGATCAACGGGGAATGTTCAGATTGGTTTTATGATTTATGCTGATTCCAAGATCCAACATTTTGTGAAGTTCTCACCACTTCCAGTACCACATCACTATGTATATATATATATCACTATCTGATTTACCAAGTGGGTTCAAGCCCTGCATCACAAAACCGATCCAAGCTGCTGCAAGGGTAGTATGCCACATCTGCACCTGCTCGAGGCCATGGTCACTTTCGGTCGTTTCTACCGTGTGATTTCTGTCAGCTTTCCATTCTCAAACAATAAGTTTTGGCGTTTCCCACATGCAAATGTATATACTGTATATATATAATTATATATGTGCATAGGTATACATGTATGTCTATATATACTATATTATAATAATTATATCATATCATATCATATTATATCATATTATATACATAACTAAACTATGATTAAATATGTACATTAATTTCGTTTCGGAGTGTTTCGGAGACCCCTCATTCATCGCCTTCTCGAGACCAGGCGATGCCACATTCTTCCATTCTCCGTTTGGAGAACAGAACCGGCTGACAACCCTCTTCCTGGGTGAACGGCACGGCTGAGTTATAAAAAATGATTGGTTGACACAGCTACATACAGAATTTCATGGGGATATCATATGATATCATATACTTGTAATATTGTATTGGGATATGACATAGGGATATACACACAATAATAGGGATATCACACAATTTTGTATTACTTAATATACTGTAAGTAAGTGTTTTGTTTGTTTTTTTCTAATGGAATGAATGGGGATATGGGGAAAACAACAGTCTCCGGGGGTTTTCCCCAAACATGGGGTAGTACAACCCCAAAGCGTCGTTTTAATACCAAACAACTCATGATTCTTTGAGGATTTTTTGGGATATTTTGGGGTACTTGATTCTATTTGTGGACAACCCCAGACCCCAGAATCTTCAACTGTCAGTTGGCTCAATCTTCGATTGGAGACCTAAACTCTGCCTCTGAGGTCCAGGCAAATAGACTGCCAGGTTTAATGAGATTTGTGAGGTGAAAAGTGTATGGCCTCAAACTCACAAACACCAAGATGTCTGGCTTTCAGCTGCTTTCCATAGCTTGAAGCTGGGTTCCTATGCTTTGAGTTTCATGGTTTCAGGATGTTTCAAGATGTTTCAGGGATCCCCAAAGTCCACATCCACTTCAGAAGTGGAACACCAGTGGATTTTTTGAATCCATTTTCACAGCAACCCATACGAAATTTCACCCGTAGCTTTGGCATCAAGGACTTCATCTGAAGTTGCCGACATTCCAACCTTCATCCGCCGCACGCGGAAACAAAACCTCGGTCTTTTTGGGAAACCATCGGAAACCCACACCATGTCCTTTTTGGCCCTATGGTTTTTCCCCTGAAAATCATGTGGAACATCTCGATCCTACCCTCTGGTAATGACTAACAGTTTGCTATTGAACATGGCCCATAGAAATAGTTGATTAACCTATTAAAGATGGGTGGATCTTTCCAGTTCGATATTGTAAACGTTTACCAGAGGGTATGTGGTACAGCCCTAGCCGTCGGTGTGTTTTTCGGTGTCAGTGTCCTCCAGGGCTAGGGCCACTGGACATAGCCTCCATTGGCGTCTGATAAGAGTTGAACCTGTCAGCTGAATCCAACAGTTTTTTCAGATGTCAATGAAGTTTCTGAGTTCAACAGATCCAAGTGATCCACGTTTTTTTGTTTTTTTTTTCCAACTCTTGAAACTTCATTTTGACAAAGACATACAAAAGTTCAAAAAAAAACACAACTCAGGCCATTTCCGTTTTTTTTTTTGGTACCTCTTGGTACCTCTGTCAGATATCGTCCCACCCAGCTTCGCCCGTGCGTTGCTGTGCTGTGCTCCTCATATTCCGCTGGACCAAGGCGAGTCACCGGGCCCAAACCTTGGTGGAGATGATTCATAGATACCACTGAGAATAGTAATAAGCTATATAATAATATTACATTCATGATAAATACTATATAGATATATATTAATACTAGTAATTCATGATAATAGTACTGATATGTACTAATAACAATAGTCAACATATATAATAAATTCACTATTCCGCTATAGATTCACCATTCCTTCCAATGCAAAAGCCAAGGGCTGCTCCACCCCTCTGATCATTCTGATCATCCCACTACCACTTTCGAAGTCCGCATCGAAGTCCAACGCGGCTTCCTCTGTGGATAGCTGTGGATGCTGTGGATGATTAAATGATTAAAGCATGAAATGATCGATGAAATGATCTATGAATCTATGAATCTGATATGAAATTAGATGACCATATGCTGCGATTTATGGACATTAGATGAAATTCGGCGCTTGGTCTGTCCAAGTGATCTGATATGATCTGATGCTTGAAATGAGACAACTTGTAAAATGAACTCACACGATCTTATTCCTGAAAATCAGCATTCTTGCCACCTGACAGTTGAGCAGCAGCCAGAAGCCGATGGCCTCTATCTGTCTCTCTTTGCTGCCAAAAGCCATCTATTTCCCCCAAAGTTAAGATACATAACCATCAACTTAAATCCCTCATCAACATGCACCTGGTTCACAAAAATAATCATTAACCATCCCAAGCCCAGATTTCACAATTTTGGGTACCCTCTGGTAATTTAACATAACTATGGAAAATCACCATTTTCAATGGGTAAATCCACTATAAATGGTCATTTTCAATAGCAAACTGTAAACGTTTACCAGAGGGTAGCTACTCATCAAAAATCTCATGGGGCTTGTTACCTCGCCCAGTAGCACCTCCGGACCCTCGCACGAGTTCACGCGAAATGGCGCCACAGCGCGGAACTGGGCGAACCAGACATGCTTCCATGGCAGGATTCAGCAACCAGTCTGAACAGTTTTATATTAACTATAACAACCAGTCTAATGGTTAAGATATATATATATAAATAAACAGTTTCAATATTATATATATAGATATCTTTAATGGTTAAAATACCCTTCATAACAACCAGTTCTGGCCATTTCAAGGCCTTGAATCAAGGTTGGGAAGATGATGAACATGGGTGTTTCCAAAAATGGGGAAACACCCCCCATTTTTCATCATCCATTCAAAAAGATTGGGATTTTCCCCAAAATAAACCACCCATAAAAAGGGGTCAGATGGATTTTCCACAACCATCCAGCTATTGGGGTACCCTCTGGTAATGACTAACAGTTTGCTATTGAACATGGCCCATAGAAATAGTTGATTAACCTATTAAAGATGGGTGGATCTTTCCAGTTCGTTATTGTAAACGTTTACCAGAGGGTAGGGGTCAGATGGATTTTCCGCAACCATCCGCAATCATCCATCTATTGGGCTATCCCCATTGCCCCATTGATGGACACCTTGGGCAACCTTCGATCTGACATCGCTGACCTTCCATGTCTCTAAGCGTCGCTTCAAAGCACTGGCGCCTCCGTCGGCTCGGTGAGCCATGAGCGGAAACGACGGGAGAGATCCATGGGATTTATCTCCATGACCATCTGGTAAACAGCCACATAAATATGGAAAATCACAATTTTTAACGGGAAAACTCACTATCAATGGCAATGTTCAATAGCTATGTTAAATTACCAGAGGGTATTTATGGGATATCTCCAGAAAATATCCATAAAAGATCGGATATTTAACTTGGATATTTCTTGGATATTTTAGGTGGAAACCAGAAAAATCAGAAAACATCTATACATAGAAACTGGGATATTGAGGGGATTTTCCATAATCTATATCCATTCTCCATAATCCATATCCATTGGATTCTCCATAGGATCTCCTGTGTCAACCACTGAGCTCCCTGCAACTGGCTGGGTCCAGGGTTGGCTGAGGAGGTCGCCTGCTCTGTAGCTCTGCCTTCGGTCAAGGGCACCTTGGATCCATAGCTATGCCATAGGTTAAACCATAGGTTAAATCACCATTAACATCCATTAACCCCTATGAATCACCATGGTTTTCCTATAAAATGACCTCTTGGATTCTCAACAAAAAAGCTGAAATCTATGGAAAATCCTTGGAACATCACCTATAAAATGATCTCTCTGATTCTGAACAAAAAGGTGAAATCTATGGGAAAAACATGAAGAAACTATCAATCATGTCCTTTTGGTAAAAATAGAGGGGCCGGTTTGGTATACCATCTATTATCATTTACCTGTTGTTAAAGGGGTTTCTTCAAACCCCTCTATTAATCAACCAACCAATGGGAAAAGGACATCGCCAATCTCAATGGATTCCCCATGGCCCATTGCTGGCCTGCCAAGAGTCGGTGGCCCTCGGCAGTCTGGACTCCTGGGCCAAGGTGATGTGAACGTTGGTTAACAAAAGCCCCAGTGAAATTGGAGTTATGTTCACCAACTTAGCTATCTAAAATCTAGGGGGCCTCACATTCTATGATTTTTCTATGGTGGTTTCATGATGTACTGAGTTTTTGTGATATATTTTCTATGGATATTTTGACACCAGATATATTAAATATGATATAATATACTGATTTTGTGTATGGATAATATATATATATGATATTTTGGATGATTACACCTTTTTCTTCCCAGAGAAGTATGTTTTCGACGTCGATTGCTGGGAGCTTTTGCGATCTACCAGAAAGCACAGCAGAATTTGGCTTTCACATCGATCAGAGAAATTCCAGTTTTTGGTCAAACATGAATCTCCAATCAACATATTGCTGGTCAATGTCAACTGTAAACATGACACATTTCATGTTTTCGGTCAATGTCAACTGTAAACATGAATCTCCCATCTAATTTTGCTGGTGTCGACCCATCCCGGGGATCATGGACCCACTCTGCCTTGAAGCGGAAACTTCCCATTGGAGCAGGACCTGCCATGACGTTTTTTCTGTCACTGGCTCCTTTATGGGTCAACACTGAAGGAGAACATTGTGAGAACCATCAACTTCCTGCAGATTTACAGATGGTGAGAACACATTTGGTGACCATTCTTGACACATTTCGCCATAGTACCCTGTTTTTTTGGGGGGGATACTGGAAACTCCTACTTGTTCGAAAAACAGCGCTGGTGCTGCAAAGAGCCGGTGGCGGGGCTTGACGACCAGCACCTGACAACAGGCCAGAAATTGTCATGGATTATTCACAAATCAATGATTTTGGTGTTTGGTTTTGTTCCCCAAGGATCTATTCATAATAACATATAATAACTATAACTTCAACCTTGAAAAATCTTGAAACCTTCATTTTTATCAATCCTCAATAGCATCCTCCATTTTCGCGTGTGAACTTTCTCCATTCTCTGCTGCTTTGTTAAAGGCCACCTACCACGGCGAAGGAAATGGTTTTCACCAGGACCTGGCGGGATTAACTCCGGGAGACCGAGAAAGGTAGCCTCTGGTTATGACGTTCACAGGGCTAGCCATGGCGATTTTCCATGGCCCTAATCGACATAGATGGGCCATACCGTTCTGGAAAAAAATGGGTGGATACCTCACCATGGCGAACTGGCAATGTCATAACCAGAGGGTAACATTTTGGACAGCGAACTTCAATTCATCAACAGGACTGTGTACTTCATCAACATGGTTGCTGGGCTTCAGCATTGATTCAGATGCCAGCAATGCTCAAAAGATGCTGTGAAAATCTTCCCCGATACTTGGCCCAGCAACCTACGATTTCACCATGGTTGGCCAACTAGTCAACCACTGAAACCCTGGTTAGCTCTCGATTTTTGTTGCTGGATCAACCTTCCTACCCCATATTTTGATAATTTTTCATAGGTGACTTCCCATATCTTATGGGTTTAAAGGCCGCAAATCTGATGGTTAAGATGGTCAACTGCACACCTCAGCCGCCATCCGCCGCATCACCGTGTCACTGCCTCAGATTCTCTGCATATTTTATGCGGTTCTTTTGGCTTCTTGGGTAGGCATTGGACCCGAGTATAGATGAAGCAGCATGGAAAATTACCATTTTGAAATTTCATAGCTAGGTAAATAAATCATAAATCATAATCTATTTCTGATAATTTCTGTGGGCCATGGCTTCCATATGTTAAATAAGCATAGGGTAATCATGTTGATATCAGAATTATCAACCAGAATGATTGCGTTCCAATAATCCCCAGTAAGCCAGGTGTATAACTTCCTCAAATAAGGAATCAACCGGGGTACCATTCTGGTTATTCAACAGTTCGCCATGGAAAGATCCACCCATTTTTAAGAACGGTAAACCATCTATTTCTATGGGCCATTTCCCATCGGCTATGTTAGTCATAACCAGAGGGTATCGCTAATGGCTCATATTTGCTGGCTCCAGCAACCTATAGGATCTGGTTGCCTGGCGCCTGAAGGTGAATTGATCCAGAAATGGCCGTTAGTTGTTGGGGAAAATGAGGTTTCGAAAGGTTGAGGTCCAGTATTTTTGGAGAACCCCAAAAAGAGTATCCAGCAAGAAAAATCATTGATATCATAGTATAATTTGGAACATCAACACCAGAAATATCAGACAACCTTCCAAATAATTCCGGAAATTTCAGACCAAAAACACAAGACTTGTATAATGTGGTAAACCGAATAAACCGAATGCCATTGGCACCATACCATTAACCAACCATGACTGGGGGTCGTAGCAAACGAGCAAACGTCATCACACTGCTAGGGCTATACCCAGTTTCATAAACCTCTTTTCAAAATGGCTTATGGCATTGGGAATAGAAACGCATCCCTATAAAGAATCCCCCACATATAGTGGATTTCCCATTGGGAAAAAGTCATTGTCAGCAAATCCAGGTTTCATGGTCAGCCAATATCATATAATTATCAAACAACATCCACCATGATCAATCATAACCATGAACTAATCGGTGGATTGCAACTAATATCAACTATTAATCACAATTGAAACTAATCTCAACTATTAATCACAATTGAAACTAATCTCAACTATTATGAATCATAATAGCAACGAAGATCAACTGTCACAACTATCATAGCTATCACAACAAGCAGTTCTATACCTATATATGAGACATATTATTGCCAGGTCAGGCCAGTCCAATGCCTGAGTCCTCCTACTGAGGTTGTCTTGTCCCAAGACAGCCAGAAGAAGCTCGGGCTTGGCGCAGCAAATTTCAAGGGATCAATGGTCATCATCTGTCAGAATTTCACGCAGTTTATGAATATTGGTCAACCAATGATAACCGATGTCAATTATTGTTGGTCAAGCAATGTCAACCAATGTTAGATGTAAAGATGTGGTGTTATTGGTCAACCAATGTCAAGCACTCAA